TATATTTTTCAAAAAGATCTTCCGAGAAACCAGCATCCGCGCCCAGGGGTTATCTGGCGCGGCCATCGAATATCTAATCTGAGGAGAAGAGCCCGTTGGAGAAGAGGCACCGGCTGCATCGTGTCACCGCGGTTATCTCCTTCGGATCGATCCCTGTCATCAAGGTAGATCGGTTTTCGCCTCGAAAAAACGATCGAATACGTGTCTCGCGCGCGGTGATTTCAACGACTGGTTTCGCGTGTCGCGGTTCTCCTTAATTTGTTTCGAGAGAGTAAAGAAATATCGGAGAATTTTCATCGTAATTGAAATAATTTTACTTCAGCTTTTTTCGCATTGGAATCGAATATTGATGTAATTTTCGTCTTCGACGGATTTCCGATTTTAACTTTCGATCGTCGTTGTTTGATGCAATTATTAATTGTTTTATCAATTTGGTAGGTATTAGAAATTTTTTCTAGAATAATGTTGAAAATATAAGGGTCGAATTTTTAATAAGAATGATTAAGAGAGAAGGATTTCCAATTTTAACTTTCGATCGTCGTTTGATGTAATTATTAATTATTTTATCAATTTGGTATTAGAAATTTTTTCTAGAATAATGTTGAAAAGGGTCGAATTAAATTTTTAATAGGAATGATTAAGAAGGATTTCCGATTTTAACTTTCGATCGTCGTTGTTTGATGTAATTATTAATTATTTTATCAATTTGGTATTAGAAATTTTTTCTAGAATAATGTTGAAAAGGGTCGAATTAAATTTTTAATAGGAATGATTAAGAAGGATTTCCGATTTTAACTTTCGATCGTCGTTGTTTGATGTAATTATTAATTATTTTATCAATTTGGTATTAGAAATTTTTTCTAGAATAATGTTGAAAAGGGTCGAATTAAATTTTTAATAGGAATGATTAAGAAGGATTTCCGATTTTAACTTTCGATCGTCGTTGTTTGATGTAATTATTAATTATTTTATCAATTTGGTATTAGAAATTTTTTCTAGAATAATGTTGAAAAGGGTCGAATTGAATTTTTAATAGGAATGATTAAGAGAGAAGGATTTCCGATTTTAACTTTCGATCGTTGTTTGATGTAATTATTAATTATTTTATCAATTTGGTAGATATTAGAAATTTTGTCTAGAACAATGTTGAAAATATAAGGGTCGAATTGAATTTTTAATAGGAATGATTAAGAGAGAAGGAAGGGTGCGTTGCCACGTAATTTGGGAGAGAGAAGGTGGCCCGATTAATTGTTGGAAAGCAGAGAGAACGATTGCGCTGTTCCAGCGACACACGAACCGTATCTAACCGTATAAATATAAATATCTTATCGACTGGGGGAAGATATGAGGGTGGCTTCGTGCCCGATGGGCCGTGAAATTGAGGGTCCACCCTTCGCCGGTCCCACAGAAAGGACTACCATTGTGTCACGGTTTCGTATTTATAATAGCAACAATTCTAACTAATCGCGAATCTTTCCACCACAGATACCAAACAACTGAACGCAACCAACTTCGAAAGGAACTTGTGAGTTTACAAGAATAATACTGAAGATACTTTAAATAATTTTTGAAGAGAAAAGGAGTTAAACGCGAATAAATTTAATCGTGGATTTTAATTCGAAGGTTGAAAGATATCGTTCCCGTTCCCCTGAATTTCACTTGCAAAGGAGAAAATCTATTTTTCATTATGATCGCAATGTGTTTCGCGAGGAAATAATGTGTAAGGAACCACCGTGGATGATTTTAAAAAATATGGTCTGACAATTAGAAGCGAGAAGCATCAGTGATTAACGTGAAAAACGAGCACCAGTCATGAAGACCGATGTTAAATTGCGATTCCTTTTCTTTTTTTTTTTTTCTTTTTTTTTTTTTTTTTTTTTTTTGTTTTAGTTACATGCAATTCCACGACTTTCACGGAAAACGATTCGCGTGGTTCGCCGATTTATCCGGTCATCGAGCTTCCGGAAGAATAAATTAAGAGTATGATATCGTTCGCTTTTTTTATTTCATTTCAAAACGTAATGTTAGATGGAGACACGTTAAACGAGGATGGAAAAAGATTCTTCTTTTATAAAGCGATAAAATTATAAAAAATAAATGTTTTTTCGCCAAATCGATTTCGCGGCTGACAAATTGTCCCTTTGCACGAAACGTCTTATTACATACGTATACTATACTGCTTAGTCAAGAATATCAAGATACTTATATTATTTGCTTCGAGAAAAAAAAATAAATAAAAATAGAAAGCCTGTGGTGGAAAGATTCGTAATTAATTAGAATTGTTACTATTCAATTATGTAAATGCGGAAATTGATATTTTCTACGTCGTGAAATCGTTTTAAGTATATTAAAAAAGAAAAGTCTAAGAGTTTGAGAAACAACGTTTAAACAAAAAAACTTAACAGCATTAAATTCTAATTAATAGCAAAAATTAAACATTCCATAATTTTCATAAAGTTTGGAAAAGTGATAAAAAAAAATTAGGTAATTTTCAGAACTGTTTCCAGAAGAGGAGAGACGTTTTAGAAAGGAACAATGGCGTTCACATAAAAATCAGTTCATTATTCAAATGGACACGGTCGACGAGTCGAGGTCTTTGGTCCCGGGATAGATGTTCCTCAGTTTACTACCCTCCAACACACTGGACTGTAAGGTAACCGCACTCAGAATCGAGCAGATGGACTAACTACCCTCGGGAGAGCAGCTCGAGGGCCGAAGGCGCCGAGATCAAACCGCCCCCGTGTCGTCTGTCGGGCATCAACCCTCGAAAAATGACGGCGTACGCGCCTATAAATTCTCGCCTATCGAAACGGCCGATCTGGGACGTCTGATAATGGTACGCGAAACGTGAAATCAGGCCGCGATAAAAGTGCATTTTTTTCCTCTCGAAATTATGGAAAGAAAATTCTCGAAAATTTTATTAATCCGAAATTTTGACTCGATGCGTTTAAATTTAAATTTTTTCTTAATTTTCCTGCTTTCAAATTTTACTTAAACGTTAGATCTTATCCTTGTTGAAGTCCAACATTGTCTCTTGGGATAGAGTTACTTTGAATTTTCCTAATTTCTTTCAATTCAATTCAGATTTCGAGTTCAGAATTCAATAAATTTCTCGATAAACTTTCGAATCTCTCTAATTTAAAAAAAGTTGAAAAGTATACATCTCCAAAAATCTGACAATTCATTTTATTTATTATCTCCTCGAGCAATCTTTTCAACCCGTACACCATCGAATTCGTTAAATTCGCCAAGCTCCACGGATCCATTAAATTCTTTCAACCCTTCGTCGACCCGTTTCTTTTTTCAAAGAATCGGTTTTTTTTTCTTTCTTCCTGGAGGAGGATTATATCCTCGAGGATTCGCAAAAAAAAAAAAAAAA